GGGGGGGAAAGGGTTTTGCGCCTATACCCACCCAAGTCATTGAACCCTGATGAAAGCACCAACTTGGAGCATGCTGTACGGTTCTTTAGTGCACTTACAGTACGTACAGAGACATTCAACTCCACTCCAAGTCAAGGCGAGACTTTAAAAACTTTGTTTTTCCTGTGTATATCTATCTATAAGGGCAGTTCCAGACAGGTGTGTCCGTCAGTGACGGCATTTGTGAGCGACTGAGAGTTGCTACGCACTGTCGCAATACGTCCCGCTAGAAGCGTCTTGCAAAGACGCGTCTAGTCATGTGCTTCAACAACCCGTAGCACCTCTCAGTCGCTCACAAATGCCGTCACTGACGAACATTTTTTTACTATTTTTTCTGGAATTGCCCAAAGGAGGAAATAGTGACGCTCAACCCTTATGATTTAATTGTTAAGTCATTTACCGAGGGTCTCCAACTCGCATAATACTCCGTACACGGGTCCCATAATACCTCTATAATACTTCATAATACTCCTTAATATGTTACAAAATACCCCATAATACCTTAAAATACCTCATAATAGTCTATAATACTTAATAATATCAGATAAAATGACATAAAATCCCATAATACCGCATAATATACTATAATACTCCGTACACTGCTGAGGAGAGTTGGCGACCCCTCGTCATTTACTAATTCATCGCATTTATTAATTCTGGCGGTCGACCAGTCTGTCACCTGCTGTGACGCTGTCGTGCGAGTGACTGTGTCAGAGAACGTCCAGAAAGTACACGCCCGTCGTTCGCGCCGCTACGAGACTGTCACGCTCACCAGTCTGTGCGAACTCTCATGGCGCCTGGTGGGTAGGCAACATCGGGACCACAGTGCATGCGTGTACCGCGGGGTGGCCTACCCCGAGTCTCGCAGGCGCTGAGCTTCCGTCACTTGCCGAATGTGGATCCGTGTGGATCGGACAGAATCTGAGAATAAAACCTGACGTAAAACCGGAGAACAGCGAGTGTGTGGTTGGAATGTCGTGCACTTGTAGATGTGTAAACGCCATTCGTGCACATAGATGCGCAAAGTCTTCACCCCACTCAGAATGTCCGAATGCGCATTCACATACCCGCAAGTGTTACGAGTGTTCAATGTTCGACTGTTCGACATACTTCGTTTGTCAGTGCCCTTCCTGGGCCATGCGTGCGTTACTCGTTTGCTTCCGGGCTGTCGGGGCGATGGCCGGCGTTGGCCCGTCGTGGCAGAGTCAGTGCAGCCCAGGCGGCTGGCGGGACTTATAAGGCGGTGACATTGGCTCGCGCCTCACCGCCGCCGCCGCCGCCGCCGCTGCCCGCAGCGCAGTGCGTGCCCGAGGAGGCGTGGTGGCCGGGCCAGGGCCAGGGCGCCCTCTTGACAGTGACTGGCCGTGACCGTCGCCTCGTGTCGCGCGATCAGCTGAGCAGAGCATGCATGCATGCGTTCGGTGGACGCGCCGGTATGCGGGCGGGTTGGCCTACTCGCCCTGTCCGTGAATGCAGGCGCCATGGCCCCCGTATGTAGGCAAACCCGGGCAAACCCGTCCGCTCCGCACGGCTGCGTGCACCGGAACACCGGACGACTCTAGAGACCCCCCCCCCCTTAATTTGCGCCTGACTTTAGCAAAAGTTCCCTCTGGCCGCCTCTCTCGCCGCCTTTTTGGCTGCTTCTCTGGCTGCTTCTCTGGCCGCTTCTCTGGCCGCCTCTCTGGCCGCTTCTCTGGCCGCTTCTCTGGCCGCCCCTCTGGCCGCCTCTCTGGCCGCC